AGTAAGAAAATAACATAAGAAACTCAGAATTTTGAGCCCACTGACTGGTTTTGTCCTCTCTTTAGCAATAACTGTGTATCACCTCGGACAAGTTATTTAACATCACTGGAAACCCATTCATATACTTGGGAACCAACTTTTCTTTTTTCTTTTTTTTTTTGTATTTAGTACAGGGTCTACAGAGTCTCACTACACAGTTCTGACTTGTAGCGGTCCTCCTGTTTTCAGCCTCCCATGTGCTAGAATTATAGGCGCCCACCTCCACACTGTCTCAATTGCTGTCGCAATGCGCCCTGGGAGGTGGGGCCAGCATGGCATGCTGGGGATCGAACCCTGTCCCTGCACCTGCCTAAGCAAGCGCTTTAGTCCACTGAGCTATCTAGCTGGCCCTCAATTTTTCCTATAGGTGAAATGAAACACTGTTTTGTTGATCCCTATGAATTCTTCCAGACTACTATGATTGTATAAATCTTACTAGAAAATCTGCAAGTAATTTGTTCTCTAATTAACCATAAGTAGGCTATACATTCAATAGATACAGTTTTGAATGTCCACAGTAATAGAGTACACAAAAGATAGATGTAAACACACAGAAGTAAATTCAGGACAGAGGGAATTCTCTCGTGTTTTTCTTCTAATTCCTGTATAAATGACTTTCAGTTTTATAAAACAATACTGAATCCCTATGGTTTGTAGCACATTTTTCTGGGCATGCATAGCCAGATTTAACTCCTGGAATAATGGGATTATCTGTGCTGGATTACTTTGGGGGGCTTCTCTTTGGGGTCACTTTTTCTGTATCACATTTATCTGCACTTCCTGACTTACCTTTGTGCAGGCCTTTATTCTTCTTTATGCTATACAAACACCCTTCTCTATTGTTCTTTCCTTTTAGAGGACAGATGATTTCTGCTGCTCTGCAGCTTAGCAGTTTAGTATAGCATTACTTACTTGTTTGTGCTTGTTTATTAGCACTTTGCTAAGAATTGCCCATCTTTTTAAAGGCACACTTGCATCACTTTGCATATAAATGGAGTATTAAATACATCTTTCAACTTTAGACAAAGCAAATTTCAGTGCAAATTTTATATGTAAAAAGATTCCATGTAAGGATAAATTTAAAAATAATATTTCAAACATGACTGTCACAGTTTTCTTTGCAATTTGAAATTTTCATCAACGTTTTGCTCATATAAGCAAATGGTTGTTTGCAATGCAAAAGAACACCTGGGGTGTGCTTGTCTGTTATTCAAATTTGTAAGTGTTCTTAGGTTTTAGAAGAAAGTTGTATCAGTATCAGTGTCTTGGATTGAAAGGTTCTGATATAGCTGGCATGAAAACAATAACCTTGGAGATATTTCATATGAAGTGAGGTAAATTGTTTTAGTTACCTCATGAAGTGTTTGATCTTTAGAAGCCCGATAAGATAAGATTGTTTTAAGAAAGCCATCCCAGTATTGGGCTTACTAGTTAAGTAAAAGAGGTCATAGAGTTTCAGAACTTTTAATACAACCAGAATTTATTTGCTATCTCCTCAG